ATGATGAGGGCCTGTTGAAGTTGAGACTGGGGTAGACAGGCGAGATAGTCCTTATCAGTTTATGAACCCAAAAGGCCATCATGTCCGGGAGCGTTACCCAGAAAAGATGTTGGCGCACCACAAATTAAGCAGCAGTTTGAACTACACCCTCTGATCTTGATGTTGGTCTCTGGTGGGTTATTACCACAAGCGTCCACGGTGGATCAGACGTCAACTGCGCAGTGCATCACCGTGGCGCAAGCAGACGTGTCGATAAGGATCGCGATGCCAACTGACAGAGCACGCAGCTGATAGCATTGGCAGAATTTTCAAACAATCATTCAGTATGCCACTCGCGCAGGGGCGTGTCAGGCTGCTGGGCCGATTTGCAGGTGAGCTCCGCCTGTAGTGGATCCCAACATGCCCCCAAAGATTTCAAGAAACCCCAGATGCTCCCGAGCGGCGCCGAGGAGACGCCGAGAGACCCCCAAGAAGTTGCAGAGACTTCAAAGGGCTCATGATAATCACGCCGCGAGCCTACGACAGGCGTCCAAGACGCCCACAAGACGCCCCAACACAGATGAAAATGAACGCGAGAGGCCTCCAGGAGGTCTACTGTGCGAGAGGCCTCCAGGAGGCTTACTATCGCGGAGTTATCGTTCTAACCGGCCCAAGATGGCCCCCGGATGGCCCGCGCTCCCAAAAGAGCCCAAGATGCCAAAATCACTAATGTTCTTAGGTTTTTGGTGCATTTTAGCGCTTCATCCTTTCGGCATCCCGACGCTCCAAGAAGACCCAAGGGGCCCCCAAGACCGCTCCACGATAGCCGAGGAGGCTTCAAAGAGGGCCCCAAAACGGCCCACGAGGCCCCAAGACGGTGATGATGATGAGATGACTACTTCATCGAGCTGTAGCCTGAGCAGATGACAACAGTGCGAATGCGCATGCACGACACACACACACACAGAAAGCAAGGAACGAACAGAAGTACAGTAATCGGAATGTGCATGAAAATGTATAGTATGAGTATGAGTATCAAGGAATAGGAGCGTGCACGGCAAGTTCACTATCCCAGTCACGATGAGATGACTACTTCATCGAGCTGTAGCCTGAGCAGATGACAACAGTGCGAATGCGCATGCACGACACACACACACAGAAAGCAAGGAACGAACAGAAGTACAGTAATCGGAATGTGCATGAAAATGTATAGTATGAGTATGAGTATCAAGGAATAGGAGCGTGCAAGACGGCCCGAGAGGGCCCCAAGACGGTCCCAACAGAGGCCCAAAAATGGGAACGCGAACCCAACAGCAGAGTCTTCCACCCTGAGAGGCCCAGAGAAGGCCCCAAGAGTCCCCAAGTGGTCCGGCGAGGCCCCCATCGGCCTCCCATGGGCCCCAAAAGGCCCCATGGAGACGCACCAGGGGCCCCAAGATTGCCCAACAGTGCCTTCGATGCATCAAAACTGTCTGCAGGAGGCTCCCGGGAGGCTCCCGGAGTGCTTCAGCGTGGCCCCAGGCGCCATCAAGTCGGGCCTCCACACAGCCAAGACGGCCAATGACGGCTTCACATTGCAGAACATCACCTTCCGACTGCCCGGAGAACCCCGACGACGTTCCCAAGGAACCCCTAGAAGCCCCAAGACGCCCCCCCAAGAAGCACCCAAAAGGTGCTTCCAACAGCAAATTGAGGAAGCGCGGAGAACCCCCAGAAGCCCTTCAGATGCCCCCACGAAGACCCCAGAGGCCCTCAGGAGGCACGACTATGTCACGCGCCTGTGCTTGATATCGCTGTCCAAGATCTTCCAGCCCCCCCTGGTCAGAGCTAGAACATGAGCGCGCGCGAAGCGCGCGATTGTCCTAGATGTGTTGATATATATATATATATATATATATATATATATATATATATCCATATATATATATATATGTATATATATATGTATATATATATATATATATATATATATATCCCTGGGGGGCAGGCCCGGGGCCCACAAACAGCTGCCCCGACCCCCCATGGGAGGACGGGGCGGCCGGGGAGGTCCAAAATAGTCCAAGGGGGCCTCCAGAGGCTCCCCAGACGGTCCAAGCGGGCCCCGAATCGCCGCAAGACCGCTCCTGGACGCCCAAGATAGGCCCAAGACGGCCCGAAAGGCCCCCCCAAGGCACTCCACGACGCTTCAAGACGCCTCCAGAGCGCTTCAAATGGCCGAAATCGTAAATGTTATTAAGGTTTTGGAGAGGTTTTGGCCTTCCAGCCTTTTCGGCTGTCCGACGTTCCAAGACGGCCCAATAGGCCCCCAAGAGCGCCCCAAGACGGCCCAAGAGGGCCCCAAGACGGCCCCAGAGGCGCCCAAGACAGCCCAAGAGAGCCCCAAGACGGCCCCAAGATGCGCCCAAGAGGGGGACCACGACTCCAAAATTCGACCTTCCCGCTTGAGGAGTGCCTGAGGAGGCTCCAAGGAGCCCCCAAGAGGCCCCAGGAGGCCAACGACACCCCAACAAGTCATGTTCCCAGGAAGTCTTACGGCCAGTGCCGCCGACGTTGAAGGAGGACGGTCCAGGACACCCAGAAATCTTCCAAACAGGCTTCCAAGAGGGCGCCGAGACAGCCTAGGGCCGCCCCCAGACGGCCCAAGAAAGCCCCAACACAGACGAAAAGGGCCGCAAGAGACCCCCAAGAGGCCCCGGAACGAGGACATATCGTTCGAACGCGCCCAAGATGGCCTCTGGACGGCCCACAAGGCTTCCAACACGGCCCAAAGGACGCCAAAATCATTGATTGTCCTTAGGTTGCTGATGGATTTCAGACACCCAATGTCGCCCCAACAAGCCCCCACGAGGGCGCCGAGACGGCCCACCCACCCCCTGCCGCGGGCACGACGCGGGGCCCGGAACGGAGCCCTCGCACTGGGGGACCTGGGGGCCTTGCCGTGGCGCTGGGGGCCTTACATTTTGTAAAGTCGCCCGAAGACGGCCCTGGATTGCCAGAAATGGCGTTTCCAGACAACGAAAACGACCAATGACCGCTCGAGATCACCCCAGAATTGGTCCCTGACTGTCCAAGAGGCCTCCAAGACGCCCCAAGAGATCTCCACGATGGCTCCCAAGGAGCCCCAGGAGACACAACTAATTTGTTTTCCTTTGGTTTTTGATAGATTTTCGAGTTCTCGCCTTTAGTTTCCTGACGCTCCACGACGGCCCAAGAGGCTTCAATTTCCGCTCCAAGGCATCCCCAGAGGCCTCGAAGACGGTCACAAGACAGCCCACGGGGGTCCCAAGACGGCGCCAGAGACGCCCAAGGCGGCCCGAGAGGGCCCCAAGACGGCCCAAGATGGAGCCAAGAGGGTTGACACGAACCGAAAATCCGAGTCTTCCACCCCGAGAGGCTTTCAGGAGAGGCCGAGAAGCCCCTCACAGGCTCCAAGAGGCCCCAAGAAGCCCCCCAGGGGGCCGAAGAGTATCCAAGAGGCAAAAATCAATGTCTTGCCATAGGTGTTTGATTGATGTTAGAGTTTTCAGCTTTTTGGCGTCCTGACGCTCCAAGACTGCCCAAAAGGCCTCCAAGACCAATCCAAGATAGCCCAAGAGGCCTCCAACAGGGCCCAAGACAGCCCGAGAGGCACCAATACGGCCCCAAGGGGGGCCCAAGAGGGGTAAGACGAACCGAAAATCCGAGCCTTCCACCCCGAGAGGCTCTCAGGAAGCCCCAGAGGCCCCCAAATGGGACCCAAGAGGCCCTCAAGAAGCTCCCCAGAAGGCCGAAGAGGTTCCAAGAAGCAGTGTTTTCCCATCGGCTTTTGATGGATTTTAGAGTTCCCAGCCTTTTGGCATCCCGACGCTCCAAGACGGCCCAAGTGGCCCCCAAGACCGCTCCAAGATAGCCGAAGAGGCCTCCAAGAGGGCCCCAAGACGGCCCACGAGGGCCCCAAAACGGTGCCCGAGGCGCCCAAGACGGCCCGAGAGGGCCCCAAGAGAGCCCCAAGAAGGGGAAGGCGAACCCAACAGCAGAGCTTTCCGCCCTAAGAGGCCCACAGGAGGCCCCAAGAGTTCCCAAGTGGTCCGACGAGGCCCCCACCAGGCCCCAAAAGGCCCCATGGAGACGCACCAGGGGCCCCAAGATTGCCCAACAGTGCCTTCGATACATCAGAATTGCTTCAAGGAGGCCCCGAGAGGCTTCCGGATTGCCCCAATGTGGTCTCAAGCAGGCCTACACGCAGCCAAGACGGCCAATTGACTGCTTCAGACTGCAGAACATCACTTTCGGATTGCCCGGAGAACCCTGACGATGCCCCCAAGTGACCCCAAGAAGCCCCAAGATGCCCCCCCGAAAAGCACCCAAGAGGTGCCTCCAACAGCCAAGTGAGGAAGCACGGAGAACCCCCAGAAACTTTCCAGATGCCCCCACGAAGACCCAAGAGGTTCCCAAGAGGCCCTCAGGAGGCACGACTATGTCACGCGCCTGTGCTTGATAGCGCGGTCCAAGATCTTCTAGCGCGCCCCCGGCCTGGGCTAGAACCTGAGCGCGCGCGAAGCGCGCGCGATGGTTCTAGTATGTCTATACATATACCTACATATGTATATATAGATATATTGAATATGCGCATGCACCTAGATCTGCGTATGGAAACATATAGGTAACCATAGATAGAGAGAGAGATAAGAGAAAGAAAGAGAGGATCCCAGGGCCACTAGGGACCGCTGATGTTGTACCCGGCCGTTTTGGACCCGTTGGGGAGCGCCGAAATGCGTCAAAGGAAGGGACGAGGGGCGACGAGAGGGCCCAAGAGACGTCCAAGAGGGTTCCAAGACGGCCCAAAAGCTTTCCGAAGTAGTCCAAGGCCGCCCAAGAGCGATCCAAGATGACCCAACATGGCTTCAAGACAGCCCAAGAGGGCCTCACGACGGCCAGGAAACCCTCAAAAGGAGTGCCACAAGGCCCTCAGGAGTGAAGCATATTTTTCCTGGGTTTGAAGGTTTTCCGTGTTCTGGACTTGTCATGCGTCCGACGGGCCAAGACAGCCCACGAGGCCCCCGAAGTCGGCCCAAGACGGCCCAAGGTGCACGGCCTGACGTTCGCCCGTCGCCCGTGTTCTGCAAGGCATGGGTCACGCCCAGTGTTTTCGTCGGCGCTGGCCGCACATACCGACGAGCGTTCGATCAAGGCGCATGCCGATGTTCCGCGGTGGTCTAGGTGGGTACCACGTACCACATTGACTGCCTCCGTGGCCGCATTGGATCAAGATACTGCCAAGCAGAACAAAAGACTGTCGTCCTGACACCCTTACCCGCCACAATGTCGCCCCGCGGAGCGCTACTGTGCTACGCTGTCTCCCTGGCCATGGCTTCCAGGCTTCGCGCGCCGGAGCATGCCACGAATACTTTGTCGGGTAGTCATTCCAAAAAGCTGAACGCGTCGAACGCTTCTTCGCCAAGGAATGCTGCCCACCATACGAACGCCGCTCAGAACCTGACGGACGCGCAGAAGGTGAAGAAGCTCCAGGACGGGCTGAGATCCATCCAGCGGGTGCAGGCGCTCTTCGCAGGCGGTAACAGCGGGACCCGTGCCATGGGTGCCGAGAAGTTCGCGGAGGGGGCGTTGACCGAAGAGTTGTCCAGCAAGGACAGCGCCATTTGGGCCGTGATCGACGCCATGGTGAACAGCACCCAGAAGGTCGCGGCTGAAATGGTGGGCAAGAGCAGAGATCAGCAGAAGAAGATCATGCAGTCTTTAGAGGCCGAGTTGGACAGCAAGGCTGTCGTGCTGCGCAACGTTACGAATGATGCTGGGAGGCGCCAGGTCGTTCAGGACGAGGAGTACGTTCTCGGCCTGTTGAACATGCACGCAAACCAGTGGTCTATGGGCAAGCAGCTGGAAACGGTGAAGAAGTTCATGGCAGCCTCACCAAAGCTAACAGAGTTGTACAAACACCATAATGCGAACCAGTCGCTGGCGATGCAGCTCGCCGCGCTGATGGACTCCAAGGTGGCCGCCCATATGTTTCTCCAGCTGGCCGATGACTTGCAGTAGACAGCGGGCAGCTCGTTGATGCGTTCACATCCAGTCGATGCTGCCACCATTGCTGTCGAAACTCCAGGGCCTACGTTCTCGACTGTCCCATAAGACGGTGCTGCGACCTCCCCCCCCCGTGTATGGCATTTGTCCTTCTGGATCTCCTCCTGATTGCGTCGTTCGCAGCATAATTTGGTCGCCAGTCGGTCATTGACAGTGTGCTGTTGTCTCAAAATGGTTCCCAGCGGGGTGTGATGATGATCATGCCCAGAGTGTCTTCACCACACTTGTTGATACCCAGCAAGATTTCTCTTTAGCAAACGTAAGCACTACATTCAGGAAGAATGCCAAGTTTGCGATCGTATCGGGCCATCTTGCTTAGACGGGCACATTGAGGTGCTGTGAGTATATTCCACAATCAGTGCTTGCACTGAAGGGCTCCTAGCAGGTATTGAAAGATTTGGCGAAAGTTCCAAGCTGATTTAGGTAGGCGGCCGGGTTCCTGGTATCCGCTTCTGGCTTCCCGGGTGCCCGTTCCGGGCCGATTTCGGTGGGCGGCGGGGTTCCTGGGTTCCCCGTTCCCTCGTCCATCTCCTTATCGATCGGTTTCACAATCGATCTCATTACCCACTTCTCCATCGATCTCATTATCGATTTCACAATCGATCTCAGCATCGATCTCACAATCGATCTCACTATAGATCTCACGAGCGATCTCACGATCGATCTCACTATCGATCTCATTGAATTGACTTCACTCTCGGTCTCACGATCGACCTTACAATCGTCCTCACTATCGATTCCACTATCGGTTTCACAATCGATCTCAATATACATATCACGAATGTTCAAACCATCCACTGATTCAGATTTTCTCTGGTGTAATTTGGTCGCCAGTCGGTCATTGACAGTGCGCAGTTGTCTCTAAGTTGTTCCCAGCGGAGTGTGATTATGATCATGCCCAGAGTGTCTTCACCACACTTGTTGATACCCAGCGAGATTTCTCTTTAGCAAACGTAAGCACTACATTCAGGAAGAATGCCAAGATTGCAATCGTATCGGACCATCTTGCTTAGTCGGGCACATCGAGGCGTTGTGAGTAGATTCCCCAATCAGTGCGTGCATTGAAGGGGTCCTAACGGAGTTTGAAAGATTTGGCGAAAGTGCCGGGCCGATTTCGGCAGACGGCCGGGTTCCCGGGTTCCCGGGTTCCCTGTTCTGGTTTCCCAGGTGCCCGTTTGCTGCTTCCGGGCCGATTTCGGTAGGCGGCGGGGTTCCCGGGTTTCCAGGTTCCCCGTTTCCTCGTCGATCTCTTTATCGATCGGTCTCACCGTCGAATTCATTGCCCACCTCTCTGTCGATCTCACGATCGATATCACAATCGATCTCACTATCGATGTCACAATCGATTTCACGATAGATCGCACGAGCGATCTCACGATGGATCTCACTATCGGTATAATTGAATCGACCTCACTACTGGACTCACAATCGACCCTACGATCGTCCTCACTATCGAGCCCACGAGCGACCCCGCTATCGATCTCGCAGTCGATCTCAATACCCATACCACTAAACCATCCACTGCTTGTTTTTTCTCTAGTGTAATTTCAGGGCCAGAGGCCGGATCGGGGTTCTCGGGTGGCATTATCGTTTCACGACCCTTCGAAAACATCCTTTGAAGAAGAGGATGAAGAAGAAGCAGGAGGAAGAGGAAGAGGAAAAGGAAGAGGAGTAGGAGAAGGAGGAGGAGGGGCAGGAGGAGGAGGAGGGGGGAGGGAGAGGAGGGGGAGGGGGGAGGAGGAGGAGGAGGAGGAGGAGGACCTACGATCCACAGACATCTGGCGTCATGCTTTTTCGTGACGTGGGCCCTCGCACTTTCTCGATACCATCCAGGGGACCGGTCTTCCGTCCCGTGTGAGGTTTTGACTCATGTCCTTGGCCCGACGTGGACTCCTACAGGACGGAAATGTGGAAAAGACAGCCATCACGATCTCTGTTCTTGGCACCGCCTGTCCAGGTCCCAGGTCCCTGCCATCTCGCCCTCACTAGGTGGAACTGCGGCAGACCCTTTTTCTCGCTCAGAGCGAGATCGCTTTGTCCGGGCGGCGCGCCATGGGCCAGCGCCTTTGCGGCAGCGGCGTTCTCTGGTGAGAGCCGCCCCGCCAGCCGGCAGCCCTGCGCCAGCATGGCCAGTGTCGCATGTCCGGGGGTGTGGGTGGAAACAAGCTGCATCCCTTCCCCCCCACGTCTGGGTCCCGCTGCCCCTCGGTGTGGGATGTCTTCCAGCAGCTGCGCCCCGCCGAACGCGTTCTGGGGGTGCCCGGATCGTCTCGAACGGCAGCCTGGGGCCCGAGCGTTACGGCCCATGAGCCAGCCCGAGGGGCGAGGAGCCCTGGCATCTGGGCGTCTTGGGCAAGAGCGCAACGTGTTTCTTCGCCCCGTCGTGAACTCCAGAACCTCACGTATCGGCCCAGTCAGAGAATTCCACTTTAGCCCTCCCAGATAACGTCTGAGTAGATGAGGTCGAAGGATCGCTCCGCATCGCCGATGCATCGGTGATGCGGCTCGGTGTGGAGCCCGATGTTCTTCACGCCGTCGGCGCTGATGCATCGCCGACGTCGCCGATGCATCGGCGATGCATTAGCGATGCGGCACGATCCTCCGACCGCATTTACTCGGGCCCCATTCGAGAGGCCTTGATCCATAAACAGACAGTGGACAGACCTTTTGTGACGAGTCACGAGAAGCAATGGGCCACCATGTCAAGTATCCAAGGCCACCTCCCCCCGAGAGTCCACAAGGGTCATGCTTCGACGATTGGCCAGAGGCCGCCGAGATACGGTCGGGAACTCTTGGATAGCGTGTCGCTCTGGCGGTTATGGCCCACCGCGCTTTGGCGCGACACACTATCCATTTCACGGCCCCCCAGCGTCACGTCCCGAGTTGCTCCGAGCCTCCCGACCCGCGGAGCGGAGCGGAGCGACACGCTATCCATTCGCATGGCATACGTTGTCGCCTGGGCCGCCGCGGCGACACGCCAAGCAAGAGATTCCGACCGTAGTCCTGCTCACCATCCTCTGCTCCCAATCCATCACCTTCCCCCCCCTGGACTCTTCCTGCAGGGAGGGGGCGGCAGCGGCAGGCGTAGGTGTGCAGTAATCTTGGGGCTCCGCAGCACGCAGCAACGCCAGCCAGCCGGACGCCCCCTGCAGCGACCACGGCAGTTTGGCGAGCCCGTGCTCCAGCAGAAGCAGCAGTGCCACAAGCAGAAGCAGCAGTGCCACAAGCAGGCCGGCCGCTACCCCAGAAAGCGTGGCGCCGCCCGTCGTTGCCAAGACGTTCAGCCCAGAGTTGGAGCCCCAGCGCCGACCATTGGGACAGCAGGGCCGGCGAGCGAGCGCGCCAGATGTCATCCGAGCGAGCCGGGCTGGGGCCACGACCGACGACGGGACGTCGACAGAGCCGTTGTTGTGGCGCCGCAGCGTCACGAAAACGGTGGAAGTGCCGACGGCCATGCAGACGAGTCCTTCTGAGGTTACTTCCAGGGCGAGGGGTCGCCGAGACCCAGCGGACGAGGACGTGGAGTAAAGAGGGGGGTGCTCGCCCCGCCCTCCCCTGCTCCTTCCCCCCCCCCGCACACACAAACACACACACACACACTCACGCAGACCTCTCCTCCTCTGACTTCTCCCGTCCTCCCCCTCCTGCCCTCTCATCCCTTCCCCTCCAACATTGATACTATTGCAGAGATCTGCCCCCCTTTTCTTGTTTTGCTTTCAGGAGCACGACGACTTCGACTGGGAGGCGATGACCGCTGGCGAGTGGGCAGCGCGCCTTATGTGCACGAGCGCCAGTGAGCGCCGGGAGTCCTGCGTGAATCTTGTCAGCCGCCTAGAGGCGATGCTCCCTTCTTGCATCCTGGAGAGCCTGGTGAAGGTAAAGATCGCAGACATGCTCGAGAGCGAGTTCGAGGCGAAGCTGCAGGCCATTTCGCATCAGTCGTTCAACTTGGTGAAGAACGACGTGGCGGAGTTGAAGGCCCTTCGCGTGGAGAAAGAAGAGTTCGAGAACCGCATGATGCTCATGAACAGCACGTACCTTCGCGAGATCACTTCGAAGCGCGATTTGACTCGCACGGATAGTTGCGCCGTGATCGAGATGCTCAGCAAGGAGGGGCACGTCGGCGGTGACGTACAATTCTACGAGCCTTTGCAGCACTTGAGCGACGAGGTGAGGCAGTGCGTCATGTCCATCCTGGATGAGAAGCTGAAAGCGATATTCGAATGGAGCCCAGAAATGAAGGAGAAGACCAGCAAGTTCGAGCTCGCTAAGTTCGAGGACGGACTTTTGCGGGAGCGGCTGGCATCCTATACGGTCCTCAACGGGCAGTTGCGGGAGGATGCAGAGGGGCAAAGGCGGCGCAGCCACAGTCATAGTTCTGTGCATTGCCCTCCTGGGGTCGAGGGCGCTTGCTCCCCCTGGGCACCCCCCCCGGATTTCGCACGCCTGGCTCGCACGGGAAACGCTCCGAGGATGTCACGGGCTCTGACAGGTGGTATCATTCCAGAGGTACGATTCGCCGGCCTTTGAGAGGACGGCGATGCAGCCGTGGGACGAGGGTGAGTGGGACCTGCGTGCATGCAGCGCGCAGGCGTGGGGGGGTCCACACCACGGCGCCCTCTTGAAGCGAGACACGTACGATGCATGAAATGCACCCCAGGGTACGATTCCGTGCCAGTCGAGGGCGCAGTGGCCTTGACCGTCGGGGTGATCCAAAGTCCTTAGTTCGATCGTTCTCTTCCTCCACCTTTCCAGGCAGAAAACGCTTATACATCACCATGCCTGGCCAGGGCCAGGCATGGTGGTGCTGTATATCTGCTTTCTGCGTAGCAGACACGCTGTGCGTGTGGTGGCTGTGGTTCCCTGCCTCACCCACTCCGATCACAGGAGTTGCGCGAGCTGCGCCAGCGGGCGAAGCAGGCGGAGATCGGCAGCCAGAGGATCGAGCGGGAAAGGGCCCCTCGCAGCAGCGGCAGCGGTCACGGTGCGGCAACAGTGGCAGCGGCAGCAGCGGTATGGTGCGTCGTTGTCGTCACGGTCGTAGCAGCAGCGGCAGCGGCTGCGGTGGTGTCGGCGGTGGTCTTCGTCGTGGTCGATGTGGTCGCAGCGCTCGTGGTCCCAATCCTCATCATCCAACTCTTCCTCCTCCTCTTCCTCCTCCTCCTCATTCTCCTCCTCCTCCTCCTCCTCCTCCTCCTCCTCCTCCTCTTCCTCCTCTTTCCGTCGCCATTTTGGCTCAAGTCACCATGTCGCGCTGCGGCCGCATGGAGACCTCTGGGCCGAGGACAGTGTCCAAGTTTTTGGCGCCACTCCAGGGGCCCCGCGCCAGCCCGACTCTTTCCATACTTAAGTCCTCCGCAGCCGCAGGCATTCCATATCCAAAGACCGACCTGGCGCGCCTCGGTGCTGGCATCCATCTCCTGATCGCTTTGTTCGCCCTCAGGCAGCTGACGGTCCAAGCGTTGGCGCCACGACTACGCGTCCGCCATACTGCCCCACTGCGGGCAAGACGCGCTGGTTTCGAGTCAGACCGCATCACTGGCAACAGGCACATCAGCGACCCCTTCGCGCAGACACAATGCCTGTCTCCAGCAGCAGTTCGCCCTCCTCCGAAGGGGCTCGAAGATCTAATCCCCATCCCCGTGATCGTAGACGGCAGGACAATAGTTACCCCAAGAGTAGGAGCGGGGGCGACCGCAGTGGATTTACACGTGCACACAGACACCGACGACACCGCGACCGACGAGACAGAGAGAAACGGGACGACAACAGAGAACGTGATCGTGGACCTGAAGGACATCGAGAGGCAGAACGAGCACCACCGCGAACATCTGGTCCATCGGCTTTACGTCCAGACGCGCTGGCTGAACGAGACCCCTGGGGAACTGCAGCGGCTGGCCAACAACTACACGCAGGAGCTAGCGGAGGACCTGTTCGGCCCCACGGACTTGAACACCTTCTTCTCCCGCCACGTGCCAGACGTCAAGTTGCACAAGGTTTGGAAGTGTTGCCCACGTATCCTGAAGGTGAGCTTCCAGCTGCTGGCACGCCGATTGGTGGCTTACCAACCCCACGAGATCACGACGCTCCTCCTCTGATTGGCGACCTGGCTCAGCTGGGACAAAGGCTGGCGGCATGGGGAACGGAGCAATTCGCGACGGCGAAGGCACAACTCACGGCAACGGCAAATTCTTTCATTGCTCGACAACAGCAGCCCTTCAATGCACAGGTGCACGAGTTCCTGGTAGTCAGCAAACAAAACGCGCCTCACCTCAAGGTGCATGACACAAATATACACGAACTACAATCTCGAGCAGACAAGGTGGAATCGTATCAACAACGAATGTGACAAGAACTTCATGCAATGGAACAATATTTGGCGATGGCAGAAGCGACACTCCACTTTGACGTTCAGAAGCTTGCGGCATGGGACCGAGCCCCAGACCCCACGGCGTTCAGTATCGGAGCCCCGAGAGCAATGGCGCCAGCGGCTATCAAGACGGCGCTGGCTGACTGGATACATACTTTTGGTGTACTTGTTGATCAATTTACTCTTCATGGTGACGTGCCTCAACGACGGTGTCACTTACAAGTTCAAGGCGGCGCAGCTGCCCCTGCCCGAGCCCTGGCACTCTCCCGAGCACTCAGGACACCAGCTGGCTTCCGCACATTCAGCGGCTTCGACACAGGAAGTGCCAATACACCCCGCATACATCAGCGCCGACAAGAACGCAAAGCAGGTCAGGCTGGAGCTTCAAACAAAACGCCTCCAGAGCATCATATAGGACGCCTTCGCAGATCACAACGTCGGGGCGCAGCGGGCCGAAGGCGTCATCACTTTTGATGCAGTACCGCTCGTGGCCGTTGAAGTTCAAGGACCAGATGAGCCATCCAAATTACGATGGGACATGCCCATCCTCGCCCGCTTCAAGATTGACAAGCAACCATTGGTGGCTGCATGTGGACAGGCATCCGCTAGCGTGGATACGTCTACGTGGTCCATTTAGCAGACGATGGTCGCTGTGGACTTCGTCTCAGGAACGGCGCAATGGTACGACCATTTCTTGGAATACCAGAAGCCTGCGCTGTTACAAACCTCATCGTCCCAAAGCCAAACTCGGCAAACTCGCCTCGTTCACGCGAAGGAGAGCCGTGATTCTAATTCAAGAACGCCGAGGAACGCTGGATAAGCTGACCGCTGCACTGGCGACCCACCCGTACCCGTAGAAGATATGCCCACCCCTCTCTGACAGAAGGCCGGCGGCACTGCATTCCTGGTTCCAACGGGTGTTAGAGGCCAAGATGACCCACATGTTCGATTTCAACATCAGATTTTAGCTCCCGGCAGGGTCGCTCTCCTCGCCATCACAGATGGCAAGGGCAATTTCACCGTGAATCTCATGAACGTTCACAACTTCGAGCTGGATAACCGAGCGCAGGACAAGAGACGGGCTAAATGGAGAAAACTTGTCGGTTGGAACCTTCAAGACCCCACTGCGAGAGCATTTATGGCTGCTGGCGACTGCAATATCAAGTCGGGCCCGACTCGCAGCGATGTGGACCCCGTCACGGAAGGCCCCATCCTTGGCTCAGCCCTTGCTGAGCGTAGTCGTGGACTTCAGCCCATGCCAGCATATTAGGATCATCTGTTCTCCATGCTCACTGGAATTTTGATTGGTTGCCCCACGCGCTATTGCAGGGACACGGCAACCGCGGCAACATTGGATCGTGTCTTCAGTGGAACTCCAGCTCACTTCCCCCTAGATGTCGACGTCTTTTGCGGAGGTTGGCATCGATGCGGCCGCCATCTCTGACTCCGGGCTCAGTGGCCATACGCCGACCCTTCTTCGTCTTCGCGGCCGCGCTCGGTACGACCAACAGACCAGCATTCCTCCGCGCGTCTTTCGCGACCCACGCTACGGGGGGATCCTGGGACAACTACTCGACGCAGCTCAACTTGATCGGTTTCCAGTTGTGCGCCAATGACGATGCATGAAAGACTTCACGACGGAGGCTGCTCGCCAGATTCGCGACGAACTCCAGCGACTTCCGATCTCGGCCAAAGACTCCCGTGCCAGGGAAGGTCGCATCATCACCCTGAGAGCAATAGCAAGATGCATCTGGCGCAACGACATCTGCACGGACCAGAAGCTGAAGGCCACCACCGCCGACGGCGCGCGCTTCCTCCGTGTCCAACGGCACCGTCGAGCTGCTCGACAGACAGGGGTTCGCCCTCGTCGCACACGCCGCCAACTACGAGTTCGGACAGATGGAGGCCAGACTCGCTGAAAGCAGGGCGTCCAAAGGGGAGGGAGCGGTGGTCGAGGATGAGAGACGAGCTGCAAGGATGCACAAGAGGCGCGCTACTTTCTGGGCACCCAAAGCCCATCGTCTCGTTCTCGCAGGGATCCGACCCGAAAGCCTGCAAGAGTCCCGAGCTGTGGCCAGGGATCTTGAGCAGATTGCATCCGCGCTGACCTCCCATTGGAAACCATCTTCGGCGCCAAAGCAGTGCAGGAGAAGGCCCTTCAGGAGTGCCTCGGCAAGGTTGCCCCGCAGCAAGACCTCTTACCTCTTAGACTTCCAACTGAACCTGAACTAGGACGCGCCCTCAAACTTGCCAGATTGTCTGCCCCTGGCCCCGATCAACTTTCGCACGCGGCATGGAAAGCTAGACCCGAACAACTGACTGTCCTGCATAAACTCATGACATATCTGTACGGCGGACACGCGGTGCCTCTGGAGCTCAATGATAGCCTCTTCGCTTTTCCACCCAAATGTTCGGAACCCGAAGATGCCCAGGGGCGTGTGCGGCCCCCAGGGAAGGTTCGGCCGCATAGCCTCAGGAATACGGACACTAAGATCACGGCATCCGCCACCAACTTCCAGATCCGTCGGGTTGCCCAAGAGCGCACCCATGAGGCTCAACAAGGATCCATCCCAGGACGTAATTTCTCGTCCAACATCATCGCGTTGGACATCGATGCCCGCGAGGCCAGCATCACCCCCGAAGCTGAGGAGGACCTCCCGGTCTTCGCTGCCTACGTTGTGGAGGCGGCGTTCCCGTCTCTTGGCCACCAGTGGTTGTTCGAGATTCTGAGTAGCATTGGGCCCCCGCCAGGTTTCCTGAACTTTATCCACGCGTTATACGCTGTACCTCGATCTTTGCTAGGATTCAAAATCGAATCGTCTTCTTGTTTCATCTCTGATCGGGGGTCCTGCAGGGGCGCCCTTTACTCTGGTTCTCTCTGGGTTCTCGCAATGGGCCCCATCCTGAGATGCCTGCACGCGGCCACGCAGCTCCCGCAGGCGAGGCGCCACAAGGGCTCTCTGGGGGGTTGTGCTGACGATGTCGGAATGGTGATGCCTCGCATTCGAAACTTGGTCGGCGTTTCCCGTGTTTGTCTGGAAGTTGAGCGTTTTGCCTTCCTCAGGCTCCAAGGGGCCAAATGTGTCCTGGCCCCACTCTGGACCGAGTGCACGAAAGCTGTCCAGGACAGGGTCCGAAAAGAGGCTTCCAAGTGGATCCCGCAGTGGGCCAACTTTAAGATCGCTGACCACACAGTCTACCTAGGGGTCGAAATTGGCCCTGCAGCCACACTTAGCATGATCTGGGCTACCACAGCGGAGAAGTGGTGATCGAGGGCGACTGTTCTGCCATGCTCTGGAGCTGGCCCGTCTGTTCTTTCAATCCTGCACAACACCACCGCTCTCTCGACCCTCTCGTACCTCGCCCAATTGTTTCCCACCCCTGCTATGATTCGCAAACTCGAGCATCAGGCTTTGCACAAGCTGCTCAGGCTGCCGCCGAACAGCTTCAGTCTTGCCGATCTGAATGCTCTGCCATCTGTGCTCGCGATTGCCCCGTCCTCAGTCTCTTTGCTTGGATGGGCAAGCAGCTGGCGCACCTCTTTTCGCATTATGGATCATACATGGCAGC